TCACAATTGTATACCACTTTGTGTTGGTCTTTCACATTAAATTCCAGTGAAATATATTTATGTTTGTGGTTGTGATGTGACAAAATATGGAAAAGTTCAAGGGGTATGAATACTTTTGCAAACCACTGTATTAGCTCATTGCTAGCGCGACGAACAAGCTAAACTGAGGTCCTCCATCCATATTTTCAGTTACAGACTGAGTCATTTTTGTGTTCTCCTCTCTGTCATGTGGATGGAGGACCTCAGTGATGAGAGGAGAATGTGTAGCGCTGAGCTAATACACATATATGGTGATAGTGTCAGGGCTAATGCTAAAGCTAACAGGCTAAGCAGAGGTTCTTCTGAAACCAGAGAGCATTGACAGAGAGAGGACAAGGCAGAAATGACTCGTCCTGTGTACACTCTGTTTAATGGTGGATGAAATAAAGAAAGTGGTGGTACTTTATTTACTTTGAGCAAGTGAACYTCBTGRTCACAAGATAATTAATCCACCAGATAATTCAGAGGTGGTCTGTTCGGTAAATTTTACTTCAGGAGCTGCGAGGCTTGTTTTCAATCTTCAGACTGAACTGAAGCAGCAGCTGCTGACGTCATTACGCTCTTGCGCGATGCTGCGTTCAGGACAAGCATGGAAAACTCACCACTCTTATTCCAATACGGTCGCAARGATGCWTTTAGGTACTGAAATGGAATTGCATGAACATTCACCTGGTGGTTATGTAATACAGAGAATCGATAATAAAAAATCTGCGTCGACAAATTTACATAATCGACGTCATCGATTATTTCAACTAATCGGTGCGGCCCTACTTGTGACGTCCACGGCCGACCCCAGTTACCACTACTGTGCATGTGTGTCAAGGACAGAAAGGCAGATGTGGCAGTGGAAGGTGTCAAAGCAGTTTGGAGAGAAAAACAAAGTAAAGAACAACAAAAAAAGAAAACGATTAATTGATTATTAAATTAGTCATTGATTATTTTAATAATCGATTAGTTGTCGATTAATCGATTAATCGTAGCAGCCCTACTCCTGACAAACAAACACACGCTCCAACATGATCAAATAAACCAGTAGAGCTGTGTTAGCTGCTGTGGTTAGTATAAATTTCTGTGTGATGGTGGTGGTGGCAGTGAAGTGGATTACCGTGGTGAACACGCTGGACGCCGTGGACCAGGACAGACAGGGAATCAGAGGGATGGGTTTCGGCCAGTTGGTCACTGCGAGTGATGCCATCTTGATATAAAGACACACAAAACATGATCTTCAAATTGGATTTATCAGATTACACATCAAATATTTTGGGTGTTGTTGATAAAAAGTCACACTCTCGTATTTCATTGGACCGCCTTTAGCTTAGGTTACAGAACTCGTTCTCTGTGGCATCATTTCCACAAACTTCTGAAATGTCCCAACATTCATTTTCTGTCAAGAGTTTTATTTTTGCAAAGATCTTCTATTGATGACAGGATATTTGAACCACTGTGAAAGGTCTTCAACAGATCTCACTGTTAGGGTTAAATAACACATCAGCTGAAACATGAGCGGTGCAGTAATGAGTGTGTTTGTAAATCTATGTTACATCATTACAATGAACTGTATGGGGTCACTTTTAACTTTTAGGTTTCGTTCAGCTACTTTTAGATTTTAACTACTTTTGTAGGAAGAGGCAAGGATATAAGCTGGGTCTATGTAACAACAGAGCTGACTACCTCACAAAAGCTGGCAGTCAGGCTCACTTCAAAGGACCAGAGCCTGTTGTAGGTACCTCAGCAACACTCTGTAGGACTGCCCTACAGGCCTGGATTAGACGTCAACACTCAATCCGCTGGAGGTAGATGACTGTAGACAGGCATGGGAACAGATTAACAGCCTAAATCTAAGGTTTGGGAAAGCTCTCATCTCCCTGACAAGGAAAACTCTAAGGACACTGGTTGGAGTCCTAACTGGGCACAGTCTGCTCTGGTCTGTGTGATGCCTGTGGCATTGAATTAGAGACCTCTTTGCACTACTTAGACCACTGCCTGGCTCTGAGTAGTCAAAGGAAAATAATTCTTGGGGACCCCTTTATGGATCCTGAGAAACTCAGAACACTGAGTGTTTCTAACCTTGTGTCCTTCATTCGAGGGACGAGAAGGTTTGAATGAAGACCAGTGTCTTTTTGGGGAGAGCAATGGGCCCACTTAGGAGGCCTCCGCTCATATGGATTTTATATCCATCCTCACTAACCACAACCATAAACTGGGTCTATAACACCAGCTGTTGAAAGGTCACAGATGTCTCTTTGTGACACCACAAAGAACAAGAAGCACAGAACTGAGCTCATGTCAACCCACAAGAGGCAAAGAGAGGAACCCACCGTAGGTCCGCTGAAGATATGGACCGGAACAACTAAGAACCTGCGTCAAGCTGCAGGCCAGAGAGGCCAGGGAGAAAGGTGATGGTAACTCATCACTTAGAGGCCACGAGTTTCCCTCTGAAAGACAAGCCTGGTCCTCCAGGCCTGATGACATCATCACCTGTGACAAGTTCCAGTCAAGAAGGGATGTTGTGGTGATGAGCCGGTTGACCAGGAGAGGGAGCAGTAACTCAGTATTACTGCAGTTTTACAGAAAAGGCCATTTCTCTGGTTGTTTTAATGAAAACTCCTCTTCAAAGTGTTTCAGGCAGAGCTAACATCACCTTCCTGACAGCCTGAGCCAACAACAGGTTATTTTACTAACTCACATATCCTCCCATGGAGATGCCCGTCATTCCCAGAGGCCAGTAGCCCTCTCTCTCCAGCCATCGAAGCAGCACTGTGGACTCCAGGATCAAAGCTCCGCCCATCACAAACAGGTCTGACACGTTCTTCAGACACGACCTCCTGAAATATCCAGACAGTGTACTCTGTTACCAGGACTGAGAAATAATACTAACATTTCACAGATAATCTGACTTATGTTTCTTTGACCCACAGGACTACATTAATCTGAAGATTTCTGTATAATTATTACTTATAATCAAAACTAAAAATCCATTTAAACTTCAGGTTGTGATGACAAAAACAGAAGATCTTAATTATGTTTTATTTTATTGTGTTTTATCAATGAGACTTAAGTTTCTATTCCAAGAGGGACCTGAGCAAAAGTTAAATTAAAAAATAAAAGCTTTGAATCAAGTTTTACATGAATATGAAACACAGTGTCTGAAGAGTTCACTTACAGCTGGTCTTTAGGTTTCCTATAGCCATGTTAGCTTCAGTCAAGAAACAATACAGCTGTTTACACACAGTACACACAGTACACACCAGATACACACCGTACACACCAGAAATACACACCAGATCCACACAGTACACCAGATACACACAGTACTCACAGTACACACCAGAAATACACAGAATACACCAGATATGCACAGTACACACCAGATACACACAGTACTCACCATATACACACAGTACACACAGTACACACCAGATACACACAGTACACACCATATACACACAGTACACACCAGATACACACAGTACACACCAGATACACACAGTACACACCAGATACACACAGTACACACCAGATACACACAGTACACACCAGATA